TTAATTGCACCCTTCCCTAATCTCGAGTACGGATTTGAAGAGATTTAATTAAATTAGCATCTTGATACATAAGGGGCGGGTTTACCGACATGAAAATAAATGTTTTATTCATCACTCAGTAAAATGCTGCCCATTAAATTAAAACAATAATATTTTGGTCGAAAAAACTTGCATTGTAAAAATTTAAAAGTGTTTTGGGCAAAACAATAGGCACCTAATAGAATTTTTTTTACAGGCTATTAAAGTTTTTCTTTTGCAGCTATTTCTTCGCTTTGAATGAAATTTGCTTGACTCATTATTGTGTCAGTCATGATAAAGCTACTTAGTTTTTAAAAGCAAAACTGACATTGAGCAAAAGCCAAAGGTAAAGCAAAATTAATTAAAAATCACCCAGACAAAAAGAGACATTGCAAGTACGATAAGCGCTTATTTGCGATGTTACTAACATAATGTTCAACGGCTTTCAGTTAACCTTATCGCCGGATTAAGCGTGAAATATAGAAATTAGCGACCTGAACTTGAGCAGATGTTAAAGTAAAACAATAGGCCCTAAAAGCAAGGTACGCAATAAACGTGTCCAAACCCGTAAAGTGGGAATTGATGTGCAATATATTTACATCTGAAACAGAAGACCTTAAACGTGCCCCATTTACCCGCTGGCGCCCATTTACTGATAGAAAGTTATATATGTGTTTTAACTATCACATAAAAATGACGATTTATTTGTCATCCATTAGGTAATTCCATTTCAACGCCTCCAGTTTTGTGGCTTCGGTAGTTTGCGCTGGCCATTAAACACAAACATAGCGCACCTACCAAAGTTAATGAAACTGCCTTTAATGGCCATAATAAAATATTGTTGATTAAATAAACTGCAGACTTTGTAGGCAAGCGTATTGAGGGAAAAGAATAAGTCGGAAGCATTAGCCAGAATAATGGGGATAATTTCAGATTAGCTCTAATGAAAATGGTTCAATCAGGCGAATTTAAGTGGCGCTCATTTAAATTTGATCCATTATTTCAGCGAGACTGATTAAAGTGTTTTGATAGTTTTAGGCAGATGCTTTTGAAGCTTTGTCTATCAACAAAGGCCTCGATACGTGCTTTATGGATGACAATGGGGATAATACTCACTAATTGCTGAAAGTTTTAATTAATGATTCCAGCCGAAAAAATCATTATAGTGAAAGTGTTGGGAAAGCTTTTTCGCTTGCAATTAGTGCCGGTAAAATAAATAAGATTGATATTGCTTTCCTGGCCGGAAAATTTTTCCAATGCTTTTCTTGTTTTATCCTGGTATCGTAATAATTATTTAAAAAAATCCTTATAAATAGCAGCAGGCATACCCTATTCTTTCAGAGCCGGCAGCTTTAATAACGTATCAACTATTCCCGAAACTGCAACTTGGGAACTACATTAGCGTTTTCTTGGCAGTAATGTATATCTGTGGAAATCTCATTGCAAACCCGAAACTTTGCACTTTATTCCCTTTAGCACATATCAGAAAAGTTTGACCGAAATATGTCTTCTGGGAAATTTGCCCGACTTAAAATATTCCACGGCCTAGTGGAAGTTGGTAGGTTTTGTTTTAATATACGCCAAAGTCTTTGTGTGACAGGGGATTGTTTTTATGACGAAAATGTCCGCATTTTAGATTTTTCCTCAAATTTCACTAAAATCAACTAAAACACTTTTCTAACTTAATTAAAAGCACAATTTGCGCTTTAGTTGTTTAGGGTTTTAAGTTAATGAATAACAATAAAAATCATCAAGTCAATTTAAAAATTAGCTTAAATATTTAGATTTGCAACTGCTAAGAGTTTTTGTGAAAAAATCTCAAGAACTTTTTAAAACTTTTAACATATTAAATAAAAGTTGTTCTGCTTATTTAGTTTGTGTGTTTCTCTTTTGAAATGCACATAAATTTTCAAGGCACACCAGCGAGAAGTCAAGCGAATTCTAATCACTCTGAACTAAACTTTCCAGATTAAACATTGATCAAGTTGCAACACGATCGAAAACACTGAAAAGCTTCCAACGATGAATAGACGCTTAAAATCAAAACCTTCTGGGAGTTTAACTTCACTATTAAAATGGACGTTCTCTTCTTTTAATGCATTTATTCTTTGCCAATTTTCTCAAGGTTTCCACTGTTCAAGTTAATTCCCGAGAGGGGAGAGAGGCGTAATTTTCGCAACAATCAAACACCATTCTAATATTTAAATTTCTGGTTTTCTCGGCATTGTATCCATAGGAAATCTCCAAGCTTTATTTTTGCAGCAGTAGCGAAAATATATTTAAATATTTCGAATGCATCAGATCTGCCACCTGAATGCGTAATTTTCGCTTCAGTCCATATTTCATTCTTTTGTTTGAAAATGTGTTGTCAGGGCTGATGTTTGCCAACGCGGAAATTCCAATATCACATATTTAAAATTGTGAAAACTCGATTTTCACCTTTCGACATGATGTGAATTTGAATCTCATTTTTAATGATTATATTTTCTTCAGTATGGGGTTTTAAAGTCATTCATTAGTTCATTCTGTTTTATCACTTTCACCAGAAGCTATTTAGTTTGTTCCTTCCTAGACCATTAAAAATGTATGTTAAGCTTCATTTAAATATTCTTTAAAGCTTTTTGTCACCATCTTATAACTTTTTTTCAGTGGTTTCCTTGTCGTATTGTGTATCTGCTGATAATTGCAAGTTATTTGTCCCTTATTTGGGGCCTCTTTTCCGCCCATTATTCCCTTTTATCGTTCGCTGTGGTACAGTAAATGTTCGCCAATTAAAAGCGTTAGGGAAAATTGGCTATTAACGTGGTTCCTGTTGCTTTTCCTGCTTTTCGGCTTAAATGAGAAACGTTAATAACTCGGGGCAAATTAGCGCTGCTTTTTGCCGTTGAGCTTTTTAAGACTCACCACCTTCACTTTTATCATACCGATCTTTCCAACCCTTTCTAAACAACTCTTTCGTGCTTTTGTTGCATGTCGTTTATTAATTGTAAAGGGAAATTTTCAATATGTTTCGTCCATATCATGGAAGTTCGTGTTCGTGCCTTAATAGAAATCGGATTCATTAACTTATAAGTGATTTCTAAAATTTAGAAAAAATTGTAGTTCTTTTGTCTGTAATTGGGCTTCACCAGAGCTACACGCGGATTTTATAGTCGCTGCTATAAATTTTGAACAAAATAGTCGTTTTTCAAAATTCGCAAGGCTTGCTATAGAGCAACGAAAAACAACATATAAAAGCGAAACTCTTACACTTTCGAATCAAAATTTTAATGAAAAATTGAATCACGAGAAACCATGCAAAAATTCAGGTTTAAGTACCCACTTTATAGATTAAAATAAACACTACTTAAAATCGCTTGCCAAACAATTTTCCAACATGGAAATGCTTAGTAGCTCACTATCAAGGGGCAAATGTAGAATATTTTGCAAACTTTTTACCATAAAATCAATATATGATAATTTTAAAACAGTTGTTTGATAAAAGTTTCAAACTTTCTGCGAAATTTCGCGCTTCTCTAAAACCCAATTTAAATGCTAATTAATATTTCGGTTATTAAATTGCCGTAACTTTTAAACGAACCAGATAATTCAATGTAATGGCGATTTTATGCGAAGGCTAAATCATCCCAAAATTCCATTATTATTATGTCCGTCACAAATAATTCTTGAGACTCTCAGTCGCCGGATGAATTAGCAGTGACGTTTTCGGGACTGTACAAAAGGAACATAAGGAATACTGACAAATTCTGGTCACGTAAGAAATCTCAGTATTTATGAGATTATCCCATCCAGCATCGTTACGTTTTCCTCTTTTCTCGTTTATTAACGTCTTAAGAGACTCGTTCAGCTGCTGTTGAATGAGGCACATATTTGAACAAATAATACAGACGCAATTTATCTGAAGTCAAGTTGATAATTTTAACTTGCTTATAATGAAAATTATATTATGAAAAATGTGAAAATCTTCCTAGGACTTTTCCTTACTACTCTCACTTAGACCCATGGGAGCTTTTATACTGCGCTTTTAAAAAAGCAGCTGCTTCAGGCATCATAAGTTTTGCACTATATTTTCATTATACGGTAATGATCGGGTTTGTTGCTCCATTTTGGTTTTTATTACCAGGATCTTACGTTTTTCCAGCGAGAAACCCGTAAATCATTGGAAGATTAAATTAGCTGTTTGGGTTCAGGAACTTCGGCGGTTGGAAAATATTACTGGTTTCATTTGGTTGTTTTGCTTATTTGCAATTGCTCAGTTTGGAAGAAAATTATATTGTTCGAGCCATTCGAGTTGAATTTTTTTTCAATCGAGTTACGGTGCAATGCTTTGATGAAGTAAGCTCATAGCATGTGAATAACTTCAATTTAGTCACAAGTTCCATTTGCAATTTTAACAGTGAAATTTAATCACGAAAAGGTCGTCTGGCGACATATATTTCCAGCTGGAGCTCAAACTCCATTTGCACTCTCTAAACTCTATTTCTTCGAGCAAACTTGAAACCCGCACAACGGTTCTTGATAAATATTGAGATGAAAATAGTGTTTCTCGAAACACATCGAATAAAGGAAAAACGTGCATTGAAGAGGGGTAGAGGGCCCTCTCAATCAATGTCGCACGAACAAAGAGTTATTGAGTTGACTTTTCATTAATGTAATGGAGCGATTCGTTTCAAGAAAAGTTGCGGCCAAACTTTTTGAAATCGAATTGGCAATTTCAGTGAATTGCTGAAAATTGCCGTTAGCAATCACAAAGTGCTCCAGGGCGGTTCTTCACGTAATATTCACTAATCAACTAAAGGATTGGTTTGATTCAAAAAACAATGGCAAATTCCTTAGAATTCAGGCGCAAAAATTATGATTTCGATGGCATGTGCAAATCCAGTTGCATTTCCATTAAAATGTGATTTTTCCATTAAAAAAGCAACTGACTTAGACATGGCATTTTTAACATCGATTTGGGAATAACTACCCATAAAACTCACCATTACACCTCCGACACCAATAACATAGAGTAGTTGGGTCATGAATAGCGCTGATAACAAATTCATGAGGGTCGTTCCAGACAGATTGCGGAGATCAGAAAATAGGCTGAAACAACGAAAATGTGTAAATTAGTGCGATTCCGCTTTTAGACTTAGATCAAGAGCAAAGGGAATATTTCTATCAACGTTCTCATCCTAATTGACTGACCACTAACACATACTGAAAGGTTTTAGATCTTCTTCCATGTGGCTGTGAATGAATTAGAGCTCAAAATTGCTTTGTTTTAATTCAAAATATTAGAATCTAACTGTCAACAAAGTTTCCAATTTAAATTTCAAACAAAGTTGGAATAACCGAACTGAATATTTTCCCGTTGAAATCCATCCATATTTAATCCCTTATCGAGGAGAATAAGCGTGTTCAAGCAAGTTTCCACTCAGAAAAATAGCGTAACTATTCCAATAAACCGAACAGAAATTGGCCTCTTAATCCCTCAATTAAAAGAACCATTAAATTAGGATTTATCTGTCGCTGAAACCGATCAAACATATAATCCCGGAACCCAGGTAATCCGGAAATCCTAAGCCAAAATTAAAACTTTAATCTGGCTGAAAAAATTTCGTTGCAAATTGACCGAAACTGATTTTGTAAAATCCGATTTTATTGAATATTCAATGAACAAAAACATAACTGGACAGAAAAACATAACTGCTCAGAGTTTCCAATTAAAACTTCCAACGTAAAAAGGAAAATCTTCCTGCAAATGTAAATTCTTTGCAAAATTCTGAGTTCACCTTTGGCCTTTGTTTACGCGACTTGATCATTAGGCAAATTGCGTGCTAAATTATCCAGCAAAATCCGTTATTGCCCATAAAAAAATGATTCATATAAATGAAACAAAAGCCAATTCTCTTAAATAACTCCAGTGGCTTGAGAAAGGTTTTATTTAATTTTCTACCTAATTTAATTCAGTGCGATCGCCTTCATAGATTTGTATTCAGAAAACAATTTTTCAGACGTAACATTAAATTCGCATTTGCGCCAACGAGATTAAAATGACTTTTAAAAAACGATCAAGACTGTTGCATGAGGGAATCTGGTGGTTGTGCCTCTTTAACTGCGAAAAAAACTTTCGCAATCTAATCAGAGTGGCAAGGCTGACGATGTTTTACAACCAGTTTAGTGGCCGAGATTTACGAGGAAATTATTCACAAGTGGCTGCTGACAATACTGTTTGCATAAATTAAATGAGCAAAGTTTTGATACGGATTTATGAGCGTTGCTGCAAACACAAACTTTTGCAACTAATGTAGGTTTTGCTGAAATTGTCACAAAGTCATCAGGTACCGGCCAGAACCCTGAACAATTCGGAACGAAGTTAGCACATAAAAGAAAACAATTTCACAAATCATTACGCGTGATGCGCTGGTTTAAAATAACCCCTTATCAAATCCTCCCAATCCCAAATGGCAAAAACTTTGGCAATTTCGTTGACAAAGCGGCTTGAAATACGCGATAGAGATAAATGGATTTGAATCGGAATTATTTCGAAAGCTGGAATTTAATGGAGTGATTGTTTTTTGCATAGTTTTAGAAAGCGACGCGATTCATTAAAACAAACGTTGCATGCAAATGGCAATAAAAATGTTTAGAGAAATGCTTCAGAAGCTGTTAATCCTTCTGGTTGTGAGCGTTGCAAGTTCACAAAGCTTTAATCCCTGGTACAGAAACAAGATAATTCCGGAAGTAAGTATAAGGTTACCCGACGAAGAACGAGCACTACCATTTGTATCCTTCACCGTTGATTCCTAATCTGTATATCGTGCAACATTTTGCTAATGAGATTTCGGTCGCCCGAATACAACTTGTGAGCGAAAGGAGGTAGCAGATTTTTTTGGATCTGAATATTTTAGTGTGTGTTCTATGAAGCTCATTGAATTTACCGCTTCTTTTTTGCGGAAAAAACGCATTGAAGTGTTTCCGACCTAAGAAAGTTAAAAAAAAACAACACAGGTTTGAATTTAAAATAAGAAAGATACCATCGGCTAGATTTTGACCGCAGAAAAACGCCTCAAAATGGACAGAAAATGTTCATTATTTTTTATGTGGAGGGTCAAGCGTGTTTTTCACTTCCTACCTTGCTTGCATTCTTCGCTTCCTTCCGATGTAGAATTCAAGGCATTTTGAGAGACTCGGATTTTTAAAAAAATCGACTTCATACCCCACCCTTATACATTTTCGATCAAAACACAAAATTTTACGACTGTGCTTTTTGGGCTCATATCATTGAGTAACCAAATGGAAACTTCATTCAGGTTGAACAACGGGCATGAGGAAATTTTGGCAGTTTTTCCCAAAACTCGGAATTTCAATATCAGACCTTTATGTACAAGGTTAGGCTAAACTTTCATGTTTTCCTTCACGTTGTCGCTCATTTTTTGGGAACAAATTGACCTAAAGCGCTAATTTTTGCATCTGAGGAGAGATAAATCAATGGCGCGTTTAGGCAGTTGAGTATCCACTAAGAAAATCTCGCAATTTGTTCAAAAAGTCCAGATCCAGTTTTGGCTGTTTTTTTTCAAAATCGACTTAATCATGACGCTGCGTTTTTCGACGTTTTTCCAGAGCTGTTTGACCAACAGAGCTCGTTTCCATATCACTGGGTAGATATTTAAAAACTCGATTCAGTTAGGACAACGTACGTAAGGACACTCTGGCGGTTTCGACCCAAAAGTAAAATTTTAATGTCAGACATTTAGGTTCAAGATTAGGCCAAAAGTTAATGTTTTTCATTACGTTTTTGCTCATTTTTCGGGAACAAATGGAGGTAGAGCGCTCATAAAAAGTATTTCGCATCTGAAGAGAATAAGGTAGTTTTATTTCAAGCCTCTTTACGGTGAAAATGATGGAGAATTCAATGAATTTTGGGGAGACTGATTTTTTTCAAAAATCGACCTCTTGTGAAATGTTCGGTGGTAAGAGTCAAGCGAGTTTTTTACAAACTCCTTTTTGGGTATTTCGCCTCAAAAATTTTTGTCTTTAAGAAAGACAGAATTTCCTCACGTCTTTTATTACAGATTTATAAATAGTGCTCCCATTTCGCAATAAGAACGAATTATTTATCAAAAAGTAATCAAGAACTATCACCTATAGGGTATCCTGCGACACACTTAGGCTCAAGCTGTAAGAGAAAATTTCAATTAGTAGAGAAATTAACTTGAAAAATGACCTTGACGTTTCGATAGCTATTTTCTGCTATCGTTATCAAAAGAACCTAAATGAACCTAAAAAAGAGTATGTTAATAAATTGGGTAACAATAGTAGGATAATACAGTATATGAAAATTCGCTCTGATAATTCGTCTGTGCAAATTGTCAGTTATGTGATTATATTATTATTATTATTATTGATTATTATTCACATAACTGACAATTTCCACAGACGAATTTTCATATACTGTATTATCCTACTATTGTTAAACAATTTATTAACATACTGTTTTTTAGGTTCATTTAAGTTCTTTTGATAACGATAGCAGAAAATAGCTATCGAAAAGTCAAGGTAAATTTTCAAATTAATTTCTCTACTAATTGGAATTTTCTCTTACAGCTTGAGCCTAAGTGTGTCGCAGGATACCCTCTAGGTGATAGTTCTTGATTGCTTTTTGATAAATAATTCGTTCTTATTGCGAAATGGGGGCACTATTTATCAATCTGTAATAAAAGACGTGAGGAAATTATATCTTTTTTAAAAACAAAAATTTTTGAGGCGAAATACCCAAAAATAAGTTTGTAAAAAAAGAATCCGCCTCAACAATATAGAACTTATCTTCAAGCGAGTTTGTTGCATTCCGAACTTTTTCTGGTGATAATGAACTAGAACTTAAGGCATTTTGAGAGACTAGCATTCGTTGCGACATTCGTCCATCAAACCGCCCATGAAAATCACAAATCAAAAAATTAAAACAGCGTATTCTTCTTGATTTGTTCCGGCTTAAGAATTTTCAAGCCTTATTAACATTTTCAGATTGCAATTCTGTTTTGCAATCAATTTCCCGTCGTTTTAACCGGCGGAAGATTCTTCACCGCTTATTCTATAACTCCTTTCCCTTGTCAGTCTAACAACCATTTCTTCGAAGAAAATCCAATTTTCTAGCAGGTCACCGGACATTACTTGGACAACTTCCAAAGGACATTCGGAATATAAAAGCCATTACACGGAGCCGGTGTAAATGGTAAGGCCCGTCATCCACACACTCTTACTGTCAGCGCTTTTGATATCTCCACCCTCTCAAAACCAAAGTGAGCATCGCTTGGTTTAATTCTCCCAATTTGTGCGCCACTGCCAGTTGCAGAACTGTAAAGCCGAGCTGATTAGTTTTATTCGTTTGCGAACTGTTGTTGCGTGCAAAGTTTACTGGTTTTATTCCCCGGACTTTTACCACTGTTTTCCTTCCCAGTTTAGGTGTTTTCACTGCCTTCCTGGCTAAATGAAATCTAATTTAAAATCTAGGTTGAAACGTTTTCATTTAAAACGTTTATTAAGAAAATATATGCAGATAAAAGAACTCACAGTTCTGCTAACCGGTGAGCCAACTACTCCGCTTGAAATTAAGCATTTAACTAAAATTCCCCTATCTTAAATTTTTAACTTTAACCGGGACAATAAATGGCTTTTCGTAGTTTACTTCGGATTAAGTTCGCTCATCTCAAAGCGTGTTTGAGACAAAGGACTTAAACCTTTTTCGAATGGCGACTGTGTCTTTTTTGCTTCTTCGGGAAAAGTTTCAGCCAAGCAACACGGAAACATTCAATGAACTTTCATTGCTTTTTCGTAAAAAGAGCGAAAAGGGAATTAAATTACGAATCTTTTACAGGATGCTTCATTTTATTCCGTTCATCCGCGATTCATTCTGAGATGAAATAATGCATAATAGATAGATTCCGATCGACTGGATTTCAAAGGAACAGGATTTAATTGAAAATTGATTGCGGATTCAACTTACTATTGCAGCTTTTAAACCCTTAAAACAATTAGTCTATTTAGGATTTCATACGAGAAATGGAATCTACCCACTAACTGTTTTTTTTCAGTTCTGGTTCCTT